TATATATATATATATATATATATATATATATATATATATATATTATTAACCAGGATATTCAACCCGCTATGCGAGCCGACTAATCCCAGGACAACCACATGCTTTGCAGATAGCCCGAAGTCACCGCATTTGAACCTCCATGATCACAAGGGGATTTTTATTCCTCCTTGGATTTGAACTTGTAACCTCATAATACTTTTGACCTTTGGAGTCAAACTCAAACCAACCAGACACCACCTCCTTATGGTTAGATAGTTTAAAAGCATACCCTACATTCTATGAGTAATTAAGGAGATCTTTTTTGTCGATGGATATACTTACCATAACCCAGTGTTTCATGTCATCTCGACTAAGCGATTCGGATCTCCCTTTTAGGTTGAGGTCGAGCAGCGAGTCCAAAATATCATTGTTTGTAGATGAAACACCATCACATGATGATGAACTCGATCTTGTGTGAATCCGTTGATCAATGATTTGATCAAGAATAGCTAGCAACTTCTTACCATAAACATTTCCACGCCGTATTAACCCTTGTGGATCGAACAATTTAAGTATTGGGAAAAAGTCCGCAATATTAGGCTTCCCCGCAATTTCCATCAAACCACATACCGCCTCCTTGAATTCTTGCGACGTCGCAGAGTCATATTGAGCGAAATCCATAGAGCACACTAAATTGGAGATAATGTTGAGTAGTGTCGTAAACATAGCTGCGCCTATGTTTACGGGCTTTTCATGTTTACAACATTGGTTAACATGATCAAGAAGTTCTTGTACCTACAAGTAAAATAAGATGTTAAATGAACATTAAAGATACACCATTTAATACAAATTGGAAGTGAAATCGTGATTGAAGTTATATTACCTTCTTCCCTAGTAGGAGGTCGATGGCTTCTAGACGTTGCACGGGGTACAAGTATTCTTTAAGTAGTCGTCGTTGTCTTCGCCATTGATCTCCGACCGACAACCAGGCTACGGAGTATTTATCATGGTCCACCACGCGGGCGGTGTCGGGAAGTGATCGGCTAGAAAACGACATATCATGTGTGAGAAAGAATTCTTTGGCAAGATTGGGTGATGAAATGACAATGGTTGTTCTACTTCCGAGCTTAAGCGACATGAAAGGACCGTAACGTTTGGAGAGTGTGGCGAGAGAGCGGTGGGGTTTGTCGGGATTGACTTGTAAAAGGTTTCCGATGACCGGCAAAGGGAAAGGTCCCGGCGGAAGCCGCGAGTTGCGGCGGCGGAAGACGGTGAGGGCATAGAAACATGTTAAAAGGAACGAGAGTACGAGAAAGAAGGTTGGATGATCCATTGATTTGTGTGGAGTTGTGGGTGAGTTTTCAAGTCACTGCACACTTGAACTTATAAAGGTTGGTGACTTCGTGTGTATCGCCCATAACTTTTAGTGTTTTTTTATATATCGATATTATATTCATTAAATATTTTATTTACTTAATTATTATATTTAATTATTTTATTCACTTAATTGTTTCACTTGTAAACTTTGGTAAAAATTTTGAAACAATTAAAATTGATACATGAACGAACATTATGAATTTTAAATAAAAATCATTGTTTTTTATTTATAAACTTTGATTATCTAGTTTCATATATGAACTTTGATTATTTGGTTTCACTTATGTATTTAAAAAAAAATATGATTGAACTTTTTGGTTTTACCTATGAATTTTTTGGTTAAACAAAATCATTTAAATATTATTGTTGATTATTTTCCAAAAATAAAATATGATTATTTTCCAAGAATAGAAACTCATTTAAATATTATTATTTATTATATTCTAAGAATATAAAATCATTTAAATATTATTATTTATTATATTCTAAAAATATAAAATCATTTAAATATTATTATTATTATCTTCCAAAAAATAAAAATAATTTGTTCCAAAAATATCATTCATTTAATATATTTCTTCTGTTATCAGACTATAACCTCCAATTTAGCCACAATCGTTGATCAGAAAATATAAGGCTCAGATATATTAATAAGGTTAATACTATTTATTTAATTAACAAATGATTGTACCGCTATTTTAGAAATACTAGAAGGATACTCGTACAATGCAGCAAGATATATCTCAATTTTGATGTTTTGTTTTATTCCGTCTCTATAGATGTTTTAATGCGGTGTCTATGTGGTTTTGAGAAAGAAATAATGATTTTATTTTTGAATAAAATATAAATTTGAAGATATCATAAAATTTCGAAAATAAATATATATCGATATTAATATCAAATTAAATATTTAAAAGTTCTTGTTTTTATGTAATTTCTTTAATTCAATTTTTATTGTAATTTAATTTAAATTTAATAACAAAGTAATTTATTTTTTATTTTAATAAATTTTTTATAAGAAAAATAATTAATTAATTTGTTAGAATTCAATGACTATCCTAATTATATTTTGGATTTTTTATATTTAAAATGAAATGATTATCTTCTATTTGACTATGTTTATCTGCAGTTACTTATACGAATCCAAACATGAAGCTTAAAAAAAATGTACTTACACATAGTTTATTTGTAATCTTGAATTTAAAGTAATATGCATTAATAAATCGTACTTCATGCATAAAGAAATGATTTTAAAGAGTTTTTGTCAAATGTTTTATAATATAGTATAGATTATATTTAAAATGAAATGTTTATCTTGTATTTGACTATGTTTATCTGCAGTTAGTTACATGAATCCAAGCATGAAGCTTAAATAAGTTGTACTGACGCACAGTTTATTTGTAATCTTGAACTTTAAGTAATATGCATTAATAAACAGTACTTCATGCATAAAAAATGGTTTTCCAGAGTTTTTGTCAAATATATTATAATATAGTATACATTATATTTAAAATGAAATGTTTATCTTGTATTTGACTGTGTTTATCTGCAGTTAGTTACACGAATCCAAACATGAAGCTTAAATAAGTTGTACTTACGCACAGTTTATTTATAATCTTGAATTTTAAGTAATTTGCATTAATAAACAATACTTCATGCATAAAAATGGTTTTTAAGAGATTTTTTCAAATGTTTTATAATATAGTATAGATTAAAATGAAATGTTTATCTTGTATTTGATTATGTTTATCTGCAGTTAGTCACACGAATCCAAACATGAAGCTTAAATAAGTTGTACTTACGCACAGTTTATTTGTAATCTTGAATTTTAATTAATATGCATTAATAAACACTACTTCATGCATAAAAAATGGTTTTTAAGAGGTTTTGTCAAATGTTTTATAATATAGTATTAGATTATATTTAAAATGAAATGTTTATCTTGTATTTGACTATGTTTATGTGCAATTAGTTACACGAATCCAAACATGAAGCTTAAATAAGTTGTACTTACACAATGTTTATTTGTAATCTTGAATTTTAATTAATATGCATTAATAAATAATATTTCATGCATAAAAAATGATTTTTAAAAGTTTTTATCAAATATTTTATAATATAGTATAGATATACGCATTATATAATTTATATTTATGTATATAATATTTATATATATAAAAGAATAATTTGTACATAAAGGGTCAAACGAGAATAATATGTATTTAAAAGAATAAAATATACTTTATATAATATCATATACATATATATAACATATATAATATAATGATTAACATATATTTTGTTTCATAATGTGTTTGTTTCCATGTATTCGGTTTACAATGTGAAAATATTTGATATGTTTGTGAAATAAAAGATACTTGTAAAATTTTTCACATTGTGAGCTGAATATATATGAAATATACACATCGTGAAACAAATAAATGTTAATGAATATATTAAATATTGTACTTAGATGGAAAAATCATGTAAACCAAAACCTTAAGATAAAAATTCTCACGGATTTCACAAATTTTGGAGTTCTCAAATAATTAAGGTCATATATATAGATCTTTTACAAACTCAACCATTACACTATTAGAAAACTGGGTATTTCCAGCGGACAACAAAAAAGTCCAGTTTCATTGACTGCCGACGGAAATCCGCCGGTAAAAATATTCCGACAATGTTTCCGACGGATTTTAAAAATTATTTTTTATACAAAATTATTAACTCTAATTACAATAATTACCGGCGGATTTCTACCAGATTTTTGATTTATTTTTTAAGATTATTGTCGGTCGGAAAATAATTAAAAAGAAAAAATTTATTATTTTAAATTACCGGCGGATTTCCGGCGGATACCGGAGGTCGTTGGTAATTTAAAACAACAAATTATTCAAGATTTTTCTAAAAAAAAGAAACTTAACACTTTTCGGCGGATTACCAGCGGTTCACCGTTGGAAATTGTTCTGGCGGATTTTTTATTTTTTTTTCATTTTCAAACTTTTGGTTTTATATATATGTAAAATATTACATATATTCTTAATGGATCATATTGGGTTTAAAGGATCGTACTGGGCTTTAATGGGCCGTATTGGGCTTTAATGGATGTTAGTTGGGCTTTAACAATTCTATTGGGCTTTAGTGACTTCCCTGCTTATGTTATGCTTTCTGGTTGGAGGACGCATGTCAAGTTAGCTTGCTCATATTACATGGGGAATGCATGTGCGTTCCAGTTGCGAAGCGGAGAAAAGTCATGTTGGTTTGACTGTCATCGCAAGTTTCTGCCAATGAGACACTCGTTCAAGCGTGATAAGAATCAATTTCGTGTTGGACATGTTGAAAAAGCTGGTCCACCCCCTCTGCTAACTAGGGAGAAAATATGGGCACAAGTTCGTAGCTTTCCTATGATCTATGAAGGAGTCTCACACGGATTAAGATAATATAAGAAGACAGTAACCTCCAATTGGGTGAAGAAGAGCATTTTCTAGGAGCTACCATATTGGCACACTTTGTTGATCTGGCACAACCTAGACGTAATGCACATTGAAAAGAATGTGTTTGACAATCTCTTTCATACTATCATGGACACCTCAAAATCAAAGGACAACATAAATCAAGGAAATACATTGAAAAATAGTGCAATCGACCGGAGTTGCATGTAAGGGAGGAACGAAATAAAATCTTTAAGCCAAAAGCTTCCTATACATTGAACAAAGAGTAGGTAGGAAAGTTGTGTGAATGGTTGAAAAAGCTTAAATTCCCAGACGACTATGCTTCTAACATAGGTGCATTAGTAACGTCGAAGATGGTAGTTTCTATGGCTTCAAAAGTCATGATTGTCACGTGTTCATGCAAAGACTGCTCCCTCTTTCTATAAATGGGATGATACCGGCTTCGATATGGGATGCTATCACTGAGTTGTGTACATTCTTTCGTGCAATATGCTCGAAGGTGTTACACGTTGACGGCTTGCTTCAATTGCAGACAAGTATAGTGGAAACTATCTGCAAGTTGGAAAGAGTCTTCCCCTCGGGATTCTTTGATTTCATGGAACACATTGTGGTACATTTGGCACATGAAGCAATAGTTGGAGGTCTGGTTCAATATCGATTGATCTATCTCTATGAGAGACGTCTAGGGTCGTTGAAAAGGACAGTGAGAAACAGAGCAAGGGTAGAAGGGTCAATTGTAGAAGCATATTTGGTTAATGAACTATCTACCTACTGCTCGTTGTATTTTGGAACAACGGTAAAGACACGGCTAAACCGTGAGCCTAGGAATTTTTCCCCCGATTGTTCATCTTTGGACCAACGGTTAAAGATATTTAAAACACTGTGTCGAGGATTATTTAATAATGGCGGAACACATATTAATCTATCGGATGAAGATATGCACAAAGCTCACACATACATTTATTTAATTGTGAAGAATTTTTTTCGTTCATAGATATCTTAAATAAGGAGATTAAAAGTAGAGAGTCATATATTGATGAAGTGGGTCTCGAAAAACGTAGAGGCGATCACTTTGCTAGATGGTTTCATACCCACGTAAGTCTATACGTATCAACTTTTATTCATCATTATTTATATGTGCTTAATAAAATATTACAAATGACATGATTGTAGGTTATGTCTTGGTCCAACCCTGCTTTAGATCTTGTTAGGATTTTGGCATACAAACCGCTACGTACGGTTTAGAGACACCCGGGGTTATTTGTAAAAAGTTACAAGTTCCACACGCTAGCTTACAGTACAAATCACACTACACATAATAGTGGAGTATGCATGAGAGGGTCTTGTTACTCAAATTACAAGGCCGACTACTATGGATTGTTGGATGAAGTCCTAGATATAGAATATCATGGGTATGAACTCGGCCGCTGTGTTGTCCCAATATTCAGATGCACAGGGTTTGATATAGTTTACGCCGTAAGTTGACCTAAAACATAATCTA